AAGAGTCACTATTTAGTATAAAATAAGCTTCAAGCACATAGTAATTATTGACGGGCACCCAATACAGAGAGACGGCTACAAGGAATCGTCGCTACACTCACACACACATCTACACGCCGTCCTTTACTCGCGATCTCGAACCATTTCGAACCGGAGTGTAAAAGCGTTCGGTGCGAGAGAACGGCCAAATGACGACTCGCAAGTGTAAATATGTTTGTAATAAATAATAAATAAATAAATAAAAAGATCTTTATTTATCAACAAGTGCCTACAACAAAGTACAAATATGAGCTTAAAATGTAATGTTGACAAAAAGGAGAACAACTCAGCATTTCTGCTGTTTTTCAGTGTTAACCTATGTAATTTATTTCGACCGCTGGACTCAGCTTACAATATCATAATATGTTTTACAATATAAAAGTAAAAAATAAAAAATGTGCACTCTTAACAATCAAAAATTAATACAATATAGCAAATAAACTACTACTCCCAATTTGTCTCCTGCTTTTGGGCAGCAAGAAGCCACGGCTTAATTTTATTTTTAAATGTACACAATGACTTAGCATTTTGAATAGGAGGTGGCAGATCGTTCCAACATTTCGATGCCGCGAAACGAAAGCTGCCTCGAAAAGCATGGAGACGAGGGGGAGGAGAAACTCTAAGAATAGGATATCGAACTTGTTTAAGTGAGCTTCCCGAAGGTCTATCACTCCAGATCAACTTATCAGCAAGATATTTAGGTGTTCGACCTATTCTCAAAGAATACACTAGATTGGTTAACTTAAGTTTACGTTTGTTTGCCATATTTAAAATGTTATTTGAATTTAAAAATGGTGTGATATGCGAGCGTGGAGGGACAGAATAACAATATCTAATACAAGAGTTCTGAACACGCTGTATCTTTTTTTCAGTCTTTTTATAGAGGCATGGCCCATACACAATGTCACAGTAATCCAAAATAGACAATACTAATGAGTCCGTTAATAGCCGTCTAACCTCTAAACTCAAGAACGGTCTAAGCTTATAAAGTTGCTTCAGCACAAAATAACATTTCCCTACCTTTGATTTAACATGTTCTTCAAACTTTAGTTGTCCATCAAACTGTAAGCCAAGGTTTCTTATTGAGCGTGTTTCTGTAATTTGTTGGTTGTTTATTACAATCGATGGAATAACATTCCGAACAAAATCAATTTGGTGTTGGGTGCCTAATATTATATAGGAACATTTTTGAGCATTTAAAATAAGGTCATTTCTATTAGACCAGTCAACAATTGAACACAAATCTTGATTTATCCTCCTGAGTCCCTGCGTCCTATACAAAGAACAAATTCCAGTACTGTGTTAAGTCCTGACGCTTTTGCAACTTTACATCATGCTAGTCTGTAATTTTGTAAATATAGGAAAACTTAAACAAAAAATATAACATTTTAACTTTGATTATGTTTTTACACAAAATGAATAATCAAAACTATTAAATAATAATGTGTTACTAATTTGTAAAATAACTGTAATTAGTACTCAAAAAAAATTCACTCCCTCTTAATTTGTTCTATATAAAGTACATTAGGCCTTAATGACTACATTCTATTAGAAAGCTCAGGACTCAGGAGGTTAATGAACTTATGCTATCAAAAATACAATTTTTGTCCAAATCCAAGGGTAAGTAAATTTGTGTGTCATCCGCGTACATATGGGCTGAACAAAACTGTATACAATTTATTAGATCAGCTGTATAAATAGAGTACAAAGTAGGTCCTAAAATCGAGCCCTGAACTACACCACGTTCCACCTCTAGCTGCGAAGAACGGACTTTCTTCCCATCCAGGCCCGTACACTCTACCAACTGAGTTCGTTTATCGAAATAGCTGCGGAACCAGGAACAAACTATAGGGTCGCAACCGTAAGATTTCAGTTTATCAACCAACGTAATTCTATTTAGGCAATCAAATGCACGGCTGTAGTCTAAAAGCACAAGTAGAGTTGCTTGCTTTTGGTTGGAGGCAGTCAGAACTTCGTCCACAATATGTAACAACGTCGTTGTAGTGCTACGTTTCTTACGAAATCCCGACTGGCACTCCGGTATTATGTGATTAGACTCTAAAAACTTTGATAAACTTAAATTCACGGCCTTCTCGAGTACCTTAGATAAAACTGGTAACAAACCTATCGGTCTTAAATCCTTAACCGTATCAATATTCGCGTTCTTGGGAATGGGTTTAATCACTGCTGTCTTCCAATCAGTGGGAAATTTGCCAGTGGCCAAAGACTTATTAATAATTGCAGTTATTGCTTGAAGAGAATATGGTAATGTTAGTTTTATCATTTTTAATGAGATATTATCAGATCCAGCTGCGTTGGATGAAAGAGAACAAAGGATTTTGTGTATTTCCTCTTCAGTCAAATTCGGGAAACTAAATTTATTAATATTTGACGTTAAGATATTATTTGTTTGACCGCAACTAGTAATATTTGAGTTCAAGGGGCTAGTAACAGTAGGTAGAGACTCCAAAATGACTTATTAATAGACTCAGGATCTCGCAAATGAGAAGGTATTTCGCTGGTTCCGTCAGAACCTAACAGCTTATTAATTTCCGGCCACATTTTTTTAGGATTTTTAATATTATTATTTATTTTGGATGTAAAATAGCCTTTCTTTTCAGTTCGTGTAAAACTTGTTACTAAATTCCGCAAAGTTTTATACATATTTATATCACAATCCTTCTTTGTAAATTTCGCCTGCGCACATGCTTCATCTCTATCTAACATTAAAGCTTTAATACTATCCGTTACCCAGGAGAAGGAGGTACTTTAAAAACTCTGGTCCGTTCGGGGACAAAATGATCAAATAATCCAAGGGTGAGTGAGTTAAAGCACCGCACCATATCATCAACATCATCGTAAGACGATACAATTTCCCAGGGGGTAATAGAGGAAGCAAATTCATATGTTGCAAGATCAAAATGATTGAAAGGTCTATACGTAACAGTTCTAACAGGATATTTAAAGATTTTAATTGGAAATGATGCCAAAACAAAAGCGTGATCACTGAGATCATCATTGTGGACTACTTTTACATATTTAGGGGAAAGTGACGAAGTACAACAAATGACATCAATAAGTGAATCAGTTGTAGATGTGACTCTACTTGCTTCGCTACCCACAAATTTCATGTCGTTTTCTGCTAATAAGTCGATAAAATCGTCTTGTTCTTTCCCCTTCACAAGCAGGTTTTTATTGATATCCCCGGCTAAAATATATAATCAAACTGTGGTGATATTATTGATAACGTACTACCAATTTGTTCAATAAATTTGCTATAACTATATTTTGGGGGGCGATACACAACACCAACCGCAAATCTATATTTATTAATTTTTATCGAATACCAAAGTTGCTCCAGATCTCCTGGTGGGAAAGGTATTAACTTAACTTTAAAATGATTTCGAATATAAAAACCTACGCCTCCGCCTTCCCATTTTTTACCAGTTCCTCGCTTTCTATATACTAAACGATAATCAGTAATATCGTAATATTTAGATTGAGAATTAGCGGTTAGTCTGGTCTCCGTCAGAGCCAAAATATCAGGTTTATACATAGCTATTGTTCTAACTAACTCGTCACGCCCAGTATTTAATGATCGGACGTTTAAATGAGCGATATTTAGTTCTTTTAACAAACTACCCATTATCTAAATAGGTAAGAAGAACCAAATACAAGAATAAAACTAATACTTACAAACTAATCTAATTAAGAAAAAAAAAACATATAGAGTGCACATACCTATAACAATTTACTTAAGTCGCTATGTGTTTTTATATGTATTGCCGCGCATTCATCCGATTTTCTCACGTAGATGCGTCCATATTTCACCCAAACATAACTGTATGAAAGCTGTTTCTTAGCAATTTTGCTGGTTTCAGCATATAATTTCTTCACATCTTGAGATAAATGCTCAACAATATATACGTTTTGCTTCTCTCCCGTGAAATTAAGATGGGTAGTGTTTAAAGGCTCTCCGCAGATTTATTGTAGCTCCTAAAGGCAGTTATTAATTTATCTCGATAAAGTTGCGAAGACAAAGTGACAAGTACGTTTCGCGGACGTTTGTCTGTCGAGTCCATCCGAGCCACACGCCGAATACTGCGAATGTCCGCGCCGGTCAAGGGTACCTCCAGTATTCCACAAATGTTACTCATAATTTTGAGTAGGTCTTCGTGTTTATTTTCAGGCAGAGCTTGAACCTCGACGTTGTAGCTACGGAAACACTTTCCATTGTACGCAAACGATTCTCAATATCCGCCAAATTTTTGGATAGCTTCTGATTTTCAGTCTGTAGACATTTAATTTTTCTTCAGATTGACCAATTTTCGCTTGCATATCTTTTGTTCAGCTGCCAAAAGTCAGTTGTTTGAGTGAATTCTTTCTTAATTTCTTCAATAGCAGACTTCAAATCCTTCTTAAATTTTGCCATCATTCTTGTTTCCATAGCCGTAAGTTTTTCCTTTAAAAGTTTGCCAAAATCCTCATAACTCATTTTATAATCGTCATCATTCTTCTTACTACTGTCCTGCTTTGGAGGCATATTGAACTATGCAATGCACAATATACTTCAACTATCAACCGCGTAGTGCGCGCTCTTAGTAGGTTAGCAGTAGATCAGCTATTTCGCGGTGACGTAATCACCTATCCGTAGCGCAGCGGCAAAGCAGTCGGGCTAACACGCAGGCGGCGCAGGCTCGAATCTCCACGGGTGCCTTGGAGTCTTTCAACTTGTATGCGTAATCAAGACAAAATGACTCACTTAATACTCCTTGAGGTCACGTCAGGCAAGTTGAGGCGAAGGACGAGACGAAGTTAAAGCCGATGCAGACCCGAACGATAGAGAGGTCCGACACCAAGCAATATGGCCGCCGCGTCAAATGTGTGTAGCGTATCATGTTGTAAGTTTGATATAATGTAAGTAATCATAAATTGGAAATGAGAAAATTAAAAAAATTTCTAGCAACCGCCGGGACTTGAACCCGGGACGGTGGATAACCGTTCCAGCGCTCTACCAACTGAGCTACGGGCGCCTAGCGGATCCTGGTGAATTTCTCAACCTCTTGATGCTCGTCTGGAACAAGCTATTAAGCGACATATAGCAGTTGTTTTTAGAACTAAATACTTAGGTTAGTCCACGTTACAGTAGGAATTCAAACCATACGATGAAGCTTTTGCTTAAACCAATGTATTGGAATTTTTATGCACTCACAGCGCTATATTATACTCATAAATTAAAAATGAGCAAATTGAAAAATTCACCAGCGACCGCCGGGACTTAAACCCGGGACTGTGATGATAATGCACCTAATTACGTTTGATCTATGTACCCCATTTCATAAAATCAGAAAGAAAAAGTAGCAACCATATAGTGTAGGTATAAATGATCGGGAAAAGAAGCGAGCTGTCCTTCTGCCAGTTCTCTATTTTGTGCTATAAGTTGCCACCCCCGACTTTGAACTTGATGCCGGCAAGGTGAAGTGCACTCGGGACAAAAGCTTACTTATTTCATATTATCAGTTTTCCTAGAAACTCTTTGAAGAGTCTCTTTGAATAGTGTTTATTTATGTAAAGGTCATAGCACATTCAGTCAGTAACGACTCGGTACCTTTCGGCATTATTTTCACTGTACTCATGGTTCCCCATATCGTATTGTACCGGGAGTAACAGAAAGGGTATAACAAGCCGAAAGTCGGTCAAGGTACTCATGAAACTGAACTACTTTCCGTATGGAACACGGATCGAAATATGAGAGAAATTTGGACCTCCCATAGTAAACAATCAGCTGATTGGCAATGTATAGGAGGCCCAAATTTTTTTTTATATTTCGACCCATGTTCCATAGGGAAAGTTGTTCAGTTTCATGAGTACCTTGACCTCCTTTCGGCTTGTTATACCCTTTCTGTTACTCCCTGTCTAAAACCCCCGCTTGCAACGTCGAGGGTCGTGGTTTCTATTGCCCATACCACAGAACAGAAGTAAGGCCAATATTGAAATATTTGTGTTAGGTTTATGAATAGTGATTTTATGTAATTCAAAAAAAGCTACCTACTTTTTTTATCTTTTTTATTTATTTAAACTTTCGCCCAATGTTTTTGGGGCTGTTTCACCCATTAAAATATCTGCAGTTATTTTTTTCACAGCCTGTGGTAGTACTTAATTATTGATATCAGACGATCTAATTTCCAGAGTAAAAACAAACTTTGCTTAGTGTGATCGGATCATAATTATTTCTTTTTTACCCGACTGCCTCATCTCATTTTCAATTTATGAGAATAATATTGCGCTGTGAGTGCATTAAAAAATCCAATACATTGGTTTAAGCAAGCTTCATCATATGGTTTGAATTCCACTCATAATGTGGACTAACCATGTAGTAAGTTCTAAATACTTTCTACAGATGTCGCTCGATCGTCGCTTCAAGACGAGCATCAAGAGGTTGGAAGATTCACCAGGGTCCGCTAGGCGCCCGTAGCTCAGTTGGTAGAGCAGTGGAACGGCAATCCACAGTCCCGGGTTCAAGTCCCGGCGGTCGCTAGTGAATTTTTCAATTTTCTCATTTTCAAATTATCTCAAGGAGGGCTATGTTTTTCGAGAGTATGTATGTATGTGGCTCGGTATGTGGACAAGAAAATTCTTTTTCATGGGCTACAGCTCAAACGGATAGTTGGATTTTGACATATGAGGTGTCCTTACATTCGTCTCAGCAGCGCGAGTGACACTGGCTATACTAAAAATTCATAATTTCAAGATGGCGGATTTTTATTGCAAAATACAACTTTGAAACTAAAGCATTCGGGTTTTTGTGTTTTAATACATTGCTTGTTCTTCAACTGACTACCTAAGTTTACTCACTGAATATTATAATACTTAAAGTATTAAAGTCGGTAGAGTAGCTGAAAGTATTTTTATAAGGACAGTATTGTCCAAGAGTTTTATTCGTTACCCAGTTGAAATGTGTGCGATAACCTTAAGGCTGTCCGCATTACATCGATCGGCTAGTTGAATTAAAATCAGGTAAGTACTTACTGGCGCCGAGAGAAGGGGGTGGCAAAATAGCGTGGGCGGGGGCGGCACGTGCAATGTAAATAATGGAAGGTTGACCTGTAGTTAATACCCTTGCATTGACTTCCGGAAAATCTAACAGGAATTTTAGCTATTGTGCCGCAGGCGAGACACGTGTAATAATGTCATAGGTTACCTATTGTCGGGCCCTAGCTGCATTAACGAAATTCGACACCTTAAGTACACACTCAGGGTGTTTTACAAAGGCGCCGTGCATTGTTTTCGGACTCTGCTGACGTCTATGTTCAAGCGCATAATGTGGTATGTGAAACCGCCTACAATAGCAATTTCAAAGACGGCGACTTTATTGGAAAACTTGTAAATTAAGCAAGTGCATCATGATCATTAGTGCAAATAGTGCATGTCAGAGCTCCATCTACCGGGATAAATGTAACAAATGCTGCCTGCGCTGGAGATTTTTGCAAGTTTTCCTAAATTGTATACCTAACACGGGAACTTTTAACTTTGGTATTCAACGTTCGTTAAATTGATCCATTACCAATTTTTTTGTATGAATCATGAATCTATTGGGTTTTATGCAATCGCAGTGCTAAAATATTTTCATAAATGTAAATAAGGAGTTGAAAAAATGGCATGCATCGACCTGAGCTCGAACCCGGGCAGTATGGGTCAGCACCCTACCTCTCTGCCATTGAGGTTCGAGATTAGTATCAAGAGGTTGAAAATTTGGTGCACATCGATCGATGCATCGATAGCTCAGTGGCAGAGCGGTGGAGCATTGACCCATATGGCCTGGGTTCGAGCCCCGGTCAATGCATGTAATTTTTTCATTTCTTCTTCTTCTTTTTGTGTGGGACACCGAGTCGTTCAACGATATGAATATTGATGATGTGTAAAATCGTGTCAATTGTGTGTGTGCAGGCCAGCAATGTCAGCGGGTCAGACACGGCGCGGGTCCGGCTGGAGGTGGCAGCCGACGAGGCCCCCACCGGGGAAGACCCCCCCACCTTCCTCCGGCGGCTGCAGGACCTCACGGTGAAGGTGGGCACCAGGACCCGCTTCCTCGTAGAGATCGTCAGCTCTACAGAGTGCAAGGTAAGCTCAAACTTAAGCAGCTTCTTCTTTTATTTCTTTCGTGTTGATGACTCGAATAAATTTAGACCAGAAATTTGCCACAGTTACGGCACTGTCGTCGGTGGCCTCATATAAGTCGGACAAAGTGCAGGTAGTAGGGCACTGACAGCAAGACATTAAGTGGGGCAGCTATCTTAGAAATAAGAACAATAATTTCTTAGAATGTTAACTTTTACTTGTACAGGCTCTCACGATAACTCATGAACAGTTTCATTTTTAAGGTTTCGATTTTCTTGGGATTGATACCGACAAGCCGGCAAAAACTATGTTGTACGATTTAATAAATGTTGCTGCATCTAGACATTGCTGTAAAATACTACAGTCTGAAAAAAATTTAATCTTGACATTTTGGATTGTTTATGGGTGAGTGGGAGAGACTGTACTTACACTTTGCAATGTGAGGTATTTTATTTCATATGTAGGTGTTTTACTTACTCTCTCTATAATTAGCGAAAAGGGATACTTTTTTCAGACTTTATATCAGACTATGATGGTGGGTAATTGAATTGGGTATCTGGGGTTCATCCTGAACTAAGTATTATATTAGTTTTACGGTTATTCAAAAAGCAATAGTGACTAGGCATAGGATTTGTTCTAGGAAATACCCTTATCAGTATTTTATTAAAAATCGGGTTGGAATGAATTCTGCGAAACTCAGTTCGGACCGATATAGATAAAGCAATCAAAATCTTGAACAATGGGTGCCCATTGCAATATATTCTTTGATAGTTTTTTAGGTACCAAATACCGATGTTACATAAAACAATTTACTCGTAGTAGACAAATCTCTTTTCTTTCACATTTTTAATTACAAATAATCTTTTGCGAAATACTACTGACATACTACCGACATTGTAAAGGAAATCATTTTTTAGAAAACAACTAGTTAAACTAACTAACAATGTATAGTTAGTTAAGTCGTGCCATAAAGTTAGTATTGGCGGGCACCCAATACAGAGAATCGGCTGCAAGGAAACGTTATATAGTACACATTTTATCTTCGCGAAACCAAACTGTCTCGGCTACAGCGTTCAGTGCGGTCGGGCGGGAAAATGGCGACTCGCAACAAGTGTAAATATTTTTGTAGTGTGTTATATTGTAAGTTTGGTATGATATAACATAAGCAGTGTACCTAAGTAGGATTAACCTTGGTACCTCATTGTAAAAATTCAGAAACAAGCCTAAGGTGTAGGTACGGAAAAAGAGGCGAGCTGTCCTTCTGTAAACTCTCTATTTTGTGGCCGTGCTAGGTAACAAAAGTGCAGTTCTCGCTACTATGTACACTTAGTAAAGTCAATTAAGTGCTACATAAAATGCTAGTTATTGCGTCGCAGAGACCAAGTCTTCAGAGAATTCCTTCTGCGATGGCTTGTGAAGACCAGACGGACCACTCACAAGAAATTATCAATAAATTGAAAAATGAGAAAATTTGAAATTTCATTTGTGACCGCTGGGACTTGAACCCGGGACCGTGAGGTACCGTCCCACTACTTTGGCAACTGAGCTACGGGCGCCTGGCGGACCCTGATGAATTTTTCAACATCTTGATGCTCGTTTCGAAGCGATGATTTATGCGAACTTTTCTAGTTGTTATCGAAGTGGGAACTTGTGGGGCTTCTGGTTTGAAAATTCATAAATACGGGGTGTTAGGGACGGTGTAACGAAAACTTTGCAGGCGTGCTCAGACCATCAAACTGAACAACTTTTACTATGGAGCCAATGGTGGGAAACGAAAAAAAATTTCCGACCTCCCATACAAAATTCACGATCAGCTGACTGAGTTTGTATGGGAGATCGGAAATTTTTTTTCGTTTCCCACCATTGGCTCCATAGTAAAAGTTGTTCAGTTTCATGGTCTGAGCATGCCTGCAAA